GAGAAGGAGAGCAGACTGTGGTGAAGTTACTTAGTAAAGTCTAGAGGAGGAGAGTAGACTGGAGTGAACTTACTTAGTGAACTCTAGAGGAGGAGAGTAGACGGGGCTGAACTTACTTAATAAAGTCTAGAGGAGGAGAGCAGACTTGGGTGAAGTTACTTAGTAAAGTCTAGAGGAGGAGAGTAGACTGGGGTGAAGTTACTTAGTAAAGTCTAGAGGATGAGAGTACACTGGGGTGAAGTTACTTAGTAAAGTATAGATGAGGAGAGTAGACTGGGGTGAAGTTACTTAGTAAAGTCTACAGGAGGAGAGTAGACTGGAGTGAAGTTACTTAGTAAAGTCTATCCAAACAACAATGTTGGTTTGTCAGTTGTATATGTCTACAGATATTGTAGAGACACCCAAACAACAATGTTGATTGGTTATTTAGTGTAAACATCTCTCCTGGTACCTTATATTAGAAATACTAAGAAGATAGTAAGGATACCTAGCTAGACTTACCGCAGTGTCAACTTCTCTCTTAGAACCTTATTTGAAAATATATAAGGATACAGCGCTAGACCTACAGCAGAGCAAAAACCTCTTTTAGAAACTTACAGTAAAAATACCACTGTAACAAGAAACGACACGATACTCAGGCAGATTTACCGAAGTGTGTTATATGTATAGATGGTGTTTCGGTTCTTCGTCCAGAACACGGCGAGAGGATCATCTCCGTAAATGCTGCACGTAAGAACAACCTCTTCAGACTTCTTAACTTCCGCGACTTCATCATTTGTGTGAATCTGAGGGGGAACTGCAGTCACAACAGTTCTTTGTATCAGTTCCAAATATTTTAATAACAGTTTGTAAATATAATAAAAACAGTATTTTACAGATTAATAAAAGTATCACTCGATATTAACAATGTATGTTGTAAATATAATACTTGATAAACTATCCTCTCTTATCATTTACCAACTCAAATCTTCCCTTCTTATCTCCTTCTTAAACATCTCCTTTAAACTTTACCACCATCGTTCACCCCAGTCCACTCTCCTCCTTTGGACTTTACTAAGTAACTTCACCCTAGTTACTAAGTTTATTAAGTTATTAAGTAACCACAGTCTATTCTCGTCCTCTAGATTTTACTAAGTAACCCCCCTCCCCAGTCTACTGTCCTCTTCTGGACTTTACTAAGTAATTTCACCCCAGTCTACTCTCCTCTTCTAGACTGTCTAAGTAACTTCACCCCAGTGAATCTGAGGGGGAGAACTGCAGTCACAACAGTTCTTTGTATCAGTTCCAAATATTTTAATGACAGTTTGTAAATATGATAAAAACAGTATTTTACAGATTAATAAAAGTATCACTCGATATTAACAATGTATGTTGTAAATATAATACTTGATAAACTATCCTCTTCTATCATTTACCAACTCAAATCTTCCCTTCTTATCTCCATCTTAAACCTTTACCACCATAGTTCTCTCCAGTCTACTCTCCATCTTAAAACTTTACCACCATAGTTCTCTTCAGTCTACACTCCATCTTAAAACTTTACCACCATAGTTCTCTCCAGTCTACTCTCCATCTTAAAACTTTACCACCATAGTTCTATCCAGTCTACTCTCCATCTTAAACCTTTACCACCATAGTTCTCTCCAGTCTACTCTCCATCTTAAACCTTTACCACCAAAGTTTTCTCCAGGCTAATCTCCTTTAAACTTTACCACCATAGTTCTCTCCAGTCTACTCTCCATCTTAAAATCTTTACCACCATAGTTCTCTCCAGTCTACTCTCCATCTTAAAACTTTACCACCATAGTTCTCTCCAGTCTACTCTCCATCTTAAACCTTTACCAACATAGTTCTCTCCAGTCTACTCTCCAACATAAAACTTTACCACCATAATTCTCTCCAGTCTACTCTCCATCTTAAATTATTACCACCATAGTTCTCTCCAGTCTACTCTCCATCTTAAAACTTTACCACCATAGTTCTCTCCAGGCTACTCTCCTTTAAAATTTACCACCATAGTTCTCTCCAGTCTACTCTCCATCTTAAAACTTTACCACCATAGTTCTCTTCAGTCTACCCTCCTCTTCTAGATTTTACTAAGTAACTTCACCACAGTCTGCTCTCCTCCTCTAGACTTTACTAAGTAACTTCACTCCAGTCTACTCTCCTCCTGTAGACTTTATTAAGTAACTTCACTCCAGTCTACTCTCCTCCTCTAGACTTTACTAAGTAACTTCACCACAGTCTGCTCTCCTCCTCGGCTCTACAATATCTATAGACATATATAATTGACCAATCAACATTGTTGTTTGGAGCTTACAATATCTATAGACATATATAACTGACAAACCAACATTGTTGTTTGGGGGCTCTACAATATCTATAGACATATATAACTGACAAACCAACATTGTTGTTTGGAGGCTCTACAATATATATAGACATA